AAAGGTGGATATAAGGGTGGGATGAAATAATAGGGTCAGGTTGTGTTCAATTTTTTGCAAGTTCTCTACTTGGTCGCTTTGTTTGTTTCATAGAGATGTCTTGGGTGATGGATTCTTATCCAGGAGCTATTAGTCATTCGCCAAGGTACTTGGGGTGGATCCGTTGCATTTTTTTGGTAGTTTTTCGAAAGTTGTTTGCTTCTCAGTATTTTAATTTACTTCTTCTCACTCCCAGTGGTGAGTGTGTTTAAGTATTTAAGCCTTAATTCATTGAGTTGCTATATGTCATATTCTTTAGGTTTTGGGGTGTTCTATTTGAGAATGAGTTGGACTTGTGTCTCCGAGTTTGATGGCGGCGGTGTTCATTTGTTTTTGTTGCTGTAGTTGTTGTCATAGGAGAGGGAGGGAGTATGACTAGGGACTTTTGGGGCAGGGAGCGGGGGAGGGTATGGTGATTCGGAGAGCAGGCATGATGGATAGGTGGGTTGATTTGGTAGTGTGGGTATGTTGATGTGGGATGGCTCGTAGTTTGAGAAGTCAGTAAGGGAAGGTGGGGGCTTGTTGTTTCGGCGTTTGGTGCACAAGAGTACGTCGCCTCGGTGGTGAGGCTGAGTAAATCAGTGTGTTATGTGCAAATGTGCTGAGCTTGGACTGATCTCAGATGGGTGTCCTTATTTGAACGCTTTGTAAGGGCAGGCGGTAGTAAGGTCTGCCGGGGTACGCGTGTCAGGGTGCTATTTATGCTCGTGATTCGTACAGATTGGGATGTGTGGTGTTAGGTAATTTTGGTGGTGCATTCAATATTTGGACATGCGGATGATGTTGTGATGTATTTCGTTTTGGGTTCCAAATGACATTGGTTGTGTTCGGGGTGGAATATGGTGAATAGTTGCGCGTTTGTTGAAATGTATTTGGTGGGTGTTAACCTGAGGTTCTGCGTGGGTGAAATCCAATATAATGGATTTGTTTGTAGTATTTTTTATTAGTGTGAGTGTTAGTGGAAGAGTGTTGGGTTTATGTTGGTTGGTGATGTTGGAGGATTGTTAAGTGTGTAGTGTGTGGATTTACTATAATGGTATGGGTGAGTATCCACTTGTTATCGAACAGAGTTAGGGTTATGTTTGGGTGTTGAGGGGGTATTTGGTGTGTAGGGAATAATGTGTTTGTTTTTTATGGTGGGTTAAAAATTGTATCGATAGAGAAGGTTCTTAATGTTGCTGTGTGATATTGTATGGTCGGTTTTGGGACAAAGATGTTGGATGGCTGTAGAGTGTTGTGAGACTTAGACGTTTGTAAGTATTGCGCATAACTATATTATTTTCTGGCAGAATACTGCGGTGAGAGACGCTAGTGTGGGGAGAGATTTTTTGGGTATTGGTCTCTGTGTTTGAGCTGTGTATAGTTTGGTTTTGTTGTGGCGTCATGGCCTGCTGGTCTCTTATATATGTGTGTGCAGTTATGGTTGTGGTTATGTTGGTTTGTGTTAGGGTAGTTTTCGTCATCGATTATGTTGTAGTGTGGTGGCGAGAGAGCTTGATTTTCATGCTATTTTGTTTTTCTGTTGGTTTGGTTGTGATGCGAGTTTTTTCAATGCGTTGTTTCGGTCGAGAGGTATGGGTTTGTGTTGTCCGTTCGCTTCTTTTGGTTTCTGAGATCTGTCTTCTCGCTAATTTTGTGCTTAAGATGAGGTTCACATTGTGTGAGGAATTTTGGGTTTTTGTGGGCTGGTGTGATTTGTCTTGTTTAGGTAGGGTTCGGTTTTATAGAGTTTGGTTTGCATTTTTGTTAATATGATCTAGCAAGAGGTGACGGTTACATTTTGGGTTATCGGGCGTTTTAGCGTAGTGCATGTGTTTGTTTGTGTTCGATTGAGAGAGCGAGCGTTATGATTTAGTATCATTTGTGAGTTTGTGCTCCAGCCGTCGCTCGTGGATAGTATGGATCGCTGGCATTTGTGGACAATTACCTATGCTTGTGTAATATTTTTATTAGTGTATGTTGGTATAGATTTGTTGTGATTTTTGCTGTTGGGTATCTATGGGTCCGCAATGGTAAAAACTAAATATTGCTGCATTGATTGGTAATTTTTGGTGTTATGAACAGGTTTACAATTTACTTCAAGAGGAATAGACAGTGAGTTTCTCGAGACTGTATTTCGATTGGGTGTGAGCGTAAATTGTATTCAGTACACACACGTCGTTGGGGTGGTTGTTTGTTGCGGTGTCATTTCGCGTGTTTGGGGTACGTGGTGGCATTGTGTAATATTGTTAGGTCATGTTCATGGTGCCGTGGTGGGTTGTACTTGAGTTGCGACAAAGTTGGATTGGTAAAATAGGCACAAATTTAAAATGTTTTCGGTGTATAGTGTTGAGCGTGGTGGTAGATATTGAGTTTATGAATGTTATCTTGGCTATTTTTGGTGTTTAGTTTATTGTCTTCTACATATAATATAATAGAGGTCTGGTGTGGTCTTTTTAAGCTATGACTGGTTAAGCTTGTTAACTCCTTTTTATTGGTTTCATATTTTGAGCGAGCGGGGTGAATTTTATATATGGTTATGGTGGGGGGTTTGGGTTGTTTTGTTATTTGTGAATGCACATGAGTTAGAGCACTGGGACTTGTGATTTTAGTTATAGCAAGTTTTGAGTTAACGGTTCATAGTTGTGTTTGCAGAGCTCGCTGGAGTCGGAGTTTTGGGTGCTAATAGCTATGGTTGCTGAGATCTAAATATATCAATAATGTTGTGGTTGTGCATTCTCTCTCTCCTCTCCCTGGCCGTATTCGTTTGCGTGATTTTTGGGATAGAGACCATAATATTATTTGGATGATGGTGGGTAACTGGGTATAAACCCCTCCGAATAATACATTTACATGCTCATAGCTGTGGGGTTCAGAGGGTTTGTGTGGCTGTTGACTTTGCTTATATACTTTGTATAGAGTTATTGTATGTTATATGGATATGACTTTGGTTCGTCTGGGAAAGGATCAGCAAAAATACTATACAATTGTTATGAGTAATTAGTGTTGGTGTATACCGTTTGTTTTCGGATTTGATTTCAAGGGGCACATTATTCATACGAGCTTTTTAAAAATATCCGCTTTAGTAATTCCTCTATGTTATAGGACATGTGCGTTTTTTCATCGGCATGAGGTTTGTCGTCAGTTGCTGAGGGGTCATCCATGTGATTGCAGTTTGTGTTTATCGTGACTATTTTTTATGCGAGGGTCTGCACCTCGTTTGTTTGGTGGTTGTTTGGGGTGTGTGGCTGGTTGTTGTTGTTGGGGTTGGGGGGTTGTGGTTTTTTGGGTGACGGTGGGCTGTTGCTTTGTGGTTTGGAGGGTTTGGGGGTTTGATTTGTGGGTTGTGTTTTTTTTGTTTTGTTTTTTTGATGGTTGGTTTCCCTTTTTTTCTCCTTCCCGTATAAATTGTTGGAGTTTTTTTTTTAATTAATTTTTCCTTTCTTTTGTTTTTTTTCTTCTTGGATCATTTATCGGTGTTTTGCTTGGTGCAGTGGGTGTGATTGGCTTCTATTTTTGGTATGTATCTTTATTACTCTTTTTAATTTTGTTCTCTTTTGTTGGTCCTTTTATGCTTTCCAGTTGGGTAATGTTTCATTTAGCTAGCAGTTCCAATGTAAAGATAGTTGCATGAATTGGTTGATTCAATGGATGTATATTCATCCAATTATAGTGGATACTAGAATTAAAATAAAGAATGTTATAAAAAAATAAAACTCTCACAGGATGGCGGAAATGTATTTGAGTAAACATCAGTGATCCATCAAGGGTCATTGAATTTTCAAGGCTGCGGGGGATTGTGGCTTGTCGCGTGTGTGTTGGAGTGTTTTGCTTCGCTTGCCCAGTCAACTTAAAAAGACTTTTTATTTATTAGAGAAATATCCGCAGAACAGTCGGCCTCTTTTTGTTTTGGAAGCCGCTACCGGAGCGGTCGCATTCATTCTTCAATGGCTGACGGTCGGGAAAAGACGGTTTAATACTTTTAAACATTATAACTGAGGGGCTTAACTGCAACACCTGTCGTCCTCCTGTGCAAGTCTGCGACTCATTGAATTAACGACACACCGCAGAGAAACCGCACAATGGAGAACGCTCGATACTAAGGTAAGTTGGTAAGCTACCGCTAGCGAGTAACAGGCTAACCGCCTCCGAAAAACGAGATGCTCGAGAAAACGAGAACATTAAAACCCCCATCTGTTTGCACTAAAAACTGACGCGCTGGCTTATTAATCTCCCCAGTGCCAAGTGCGGTTGGAAAGCCTGTGGGGTATTTTGGAGAGGTTTAAAGATTTAGCCAGCTCGACTGGACTTGTTAAAAATAAACCATCCTTCCCCTCCGGATGCCCGACCGGCGCTGCTTTGTGTGATATCTGCACACGCCGGTTCCCCCACACGTAGGCACCACCACCGCCCACACTATCTGAAAGTTTGAATCCTTAAACTCGGCTGCAGTTTGGCGCTCAATCTCTTCGCGAATTGCACACGCACACGGCGCCAAAAAAACGTGCCACACTTTCACCCCCCCCTCACCTCCTCCCTCGCAGCTTATCGGCTGCAGGGCCGACGAAGTGTGGCAGTGAGCACCGCAGCGCCCCTGCAAGCAGCCTCTGACGCCCACCCCCCAAGCAAAAATACACACATGGTTACAAACCCAACGCTCCCTTGTGTATGGGGGGGGGGGGGCAGTTAAGACACAAACGCATCATAAGTTCAAAGTAGAAACGAGTCAAAACAATCGTGGGTAAATGTGTCCATGCAACATTTTCACACTTTAATGGAGAGATGCAGCTGCAAGCATGTGAAACCATATTCAGTACACACTCCTACATACAGTAACAAGACGATTCAATAAAAGATCTGTGACAAAAACACCAAACACCAAACTAAAACATGCTTTTTTTTTTTCCAACACAAAGCCTAACTTCACGTTGTGTTCTGCGCAGGAGGTGCTCTTCCCCTGGCCTCCCTTCGCCTGATGGCCTCCCCCCTGCAGCTGACGTACTCCTACATATGGCAGGTCATACGGCAGAGAAACGTCAAGTTGTACGGGAAAGTGGAGGAGTTTGTCACCATGGTGACGAGGACCGTCCCCGAGCTCATGAGTTTCAAGCAGACGGCCCAGCTCGTGTTGGGGTTGAGAGCAAGGGTGAGAGTTTATCATCTGCTGTCTGATAGCAGACTGCAGTTTATCCAAGCAGGGAATTTAACTGGATGGAGATTTTATTTTTTAAACTAATCAATGATCCATACTCGCAGCTCTACATGCAGCTTCTATTCCCGTATCTGTGAATTTAGTATCTGTGAATTTAGTGTCTGTGAATTTAGTTTGTCTCATTCGTCTCAGCAGAATTTGTGCGATCTTCAATATTGTGTTTGAGGAAAAAAATGATTATTTTGAAAGACCTAGTCAGCATGTCCAAAATGTGTAATCCCTATTATGAAAGCAAATAACTGCAATGCTACTTTATGTTGTTTTGTTTTGATGTATGTTGTGGTTTATCATATGTCTGTAATCCCTGTCTTTTCATGTACTGTAGATCATTTTGGATTTGCTTCACAAAGAGGGACCACCGGACACTAGGGCTATACAAACTCTCATAAATAAGTTGAAGGTCTCTGCATCTACAGGGGTAAGACTGGGAATTATCTTTTCCTGCGAAACACAGTTATATAACATATAATACATGAGTTAAAGCGGAGTTCACGATATTTCCTGTGTTACAGAAGGATTCAGAAGTGGAGAAATCTCAAACAAACTTCATGGTGCTGGTCCAGAGTCTCCTTAAAAGTCCTGCTGAAAGGAAGCGCTTCTTCCAGGTTTCCACATCAGTCTTAACGTGTTATTTAAGTGTTTGGTTGTCAGCACAAATACATTTTAAATACACACTCGCAGCTTTGTGTCTGTACTTATATGACGACCTTTTGTCGCTCCTAACGTTGTCGTTATAACCAATCTCACAGCCAGCTGCTGTCATTAACCTGTATTGTTGATTATGTTGTTTGATGATGTTGTGATCATAAAATAATTATCTTCATCAGCAGCTTGGCAATGACATCTGGTCAACATAGTATTAATTATGCATTGTCTGCCAGCGGAAAACAGTAAAATGTGTAAATGAGAACAACTGTACTGTGAAGTTGGAAATAATAAAACACAGTGCATATAGAGATTTAACAGAATACAATTAATTTAAGTTTTTGAGTTTACAGTTTCAAAGCCCTGATGCTGTTTAAGTCATATATTTCTCTCTCTGCAGGAAGTGTTCCCTGTTCACTACGGCACAAAGTTCGATACAGCTCTGCAGGCTCTGGTTGCAGGTCTTGTTTGCAAACTGGAGCAACTTCTTCCTGTTCCCAATCTGTCCCAGGTATGCACATACATACTGTCACTGCATCTGGACATTTGCCCTGGGGCAGTGATAGCAAGCTGGGCTACTGGTTGCAGACAGGAAGGAGCTTTTATCTGGTTGACCCCCTTGATTCGAGTGGGCAAAATGGTTTGCGCAGAGGACAGGGGTTCCTCTCAGCTCCACAGGTGTTCTGTAGTTGAAAAAACAGTCTAAAGCGAAAATAAAGTTCTTCTGTAGGTGATCAGTAACATACATTAGAGTGTCTTTAAAAGCCTTTTAGAATTAAATGCATCAAACTAATTTAACTATTTTACTTATATCTATTTTACCAATCATTTGTTGCTCTAAATACATTCAACAATGTAAGAATCCAGTGTCTCTCTAATTAGACTAATGTCAGACATTTAACATAATATAATTGGAGAAAATCATTTCAGGATCTGGATTAAGGATTTTATTTTGGTTATAAATGTGATCCAACCTAAAATTAAATCTATACTGCAAAGTTATTCATTATTTCCATTCCCTGCCTTCCACCTCAGCTTGGTACCATGATCTCAACCGAGTCCACTGTCCTGGAGGCGTGTGGGGGCTTGATCCCTGAGTCCAGGGACCTCAAGACTCTCCTCCTGCACCAGCAGGCCAAGGGACTCCCCGGTGTGAAAGGTATACTTTAGGTTCTTTGTTTGAACATATGATGAAACATGACTTAAATAATATTAAATCAATAAATTCAGCATATTTGACAAAGTCTTCTCCGTCTGTGCAGCAACTATCTCGTCCTCGGTGGGCGACTGTGTGCTCTCTTCACTCGCCTTCCGGCCTAAACCAGTGGAGCCGCCTGCACCGCCAGAATCACCAAAGGTCACTCTGAACGAAACAAGCCCAGCCTCCTTCAGTGACACTGAGGACTTGGGGGTGATGTCCGATGACTCCGATGGCAAAGCAGCCACTGCTACTGGATCCCAGAGAAGAGGGCAGTACAGTCATAAAACCACTGATGGCAGTACCGCAAAGCAAAAGAGTGTCACAACAACAGCTCACACTGAGAATTTGGTGCAAGAGAAGAGTAGCGCACAGCAACAGCCTGCCACACCTCTACAACGCAGAGAGGAAGATGGGACCCCGGCAGGGCCACAGAAGCCAGAAGCACAGCGGGAGCTTCCCTTGAAGTCAATCCCCTTCAGGGTAGTTCAAATGCCGATCAAAACCCCCTCCACCGGACAGAATGCAGGCAGCGCAGGATCAAAAGACGGCCAAAAGCCCCAGACTCAGCGAGTCACATTGCATCAGTGGGTGTCGCAGATTGCCACTAACTCGCTCTCGCTCCCAGCCCTGCCGCCGCTTCCTCCAGCCAGGTTTAGCTCAGGGGACGACATGAAGCCAAGCATAAGAAGAAAAAAGCAAATCAGGCCTCCGGCTGACAGATTCACTTGTGGCGTGTGCGATAAGAGCTTCCCATATCAGTCCAAGCTAATGGACCACGAGCGCATTCATACAGGAGAGAAGCCGTTCATTTGCACCGCATGCAACAAAAGCTTCAGAACGCAGGCGTTCCTCAACAACCACCTGAAGACCCACAGCACGGTGCGCCCTTACGCCTGTGGCCAGTGCGGCAAGTGTTTCACCAAACTGCAGAGCTTGACGAAGCACATGCTGGCCCACAGCGGCCAAAAGCCCTTCTACTGCAACATCTGCAACAAGGGCTTCACACAGTCCACCTATTTCAAAAGACACATGGAGTGCCACACAAGCCAGATGACGTTCCCCTGCAAGCACTGCAACAAGAGCTTCCCGACGGCTTTCAAGCTGTCCAACCACGAGCGCTGGCACACCAGAGATCGCCCTCACATGTGCGAGCGTTGCGGGAAGAGATTCCTCGTGCCCAGCTTGTTGAAGAGACACATGGGCTACCACATTGGCGACCGTCAGTATCTCTGCTCCCAGTGCGGAAAGACCTTCGTCTACTTGTCTGACCTGAAGAGGCACCAGCAGGACCACGTGCCCAAAGCAAAGATCCCGTGCCCTGTTTGCCAAAAGAAGTTCTCTAGCAAGTACTGCCTGAGGGTTCACCTGAGGATCCACACCAGAGAGAGACCCTACCGCTGCTCCATATGCGACAAGAGCTTCACCCAGGTCGGGAATCTGAAGGTCCACATCAGGTTGCACACCAACGAGCGACCTTTCAGCTGCGACGTGTGCGGGAAGACCTACAAGCTGGCGTCCCATCTGAACGTCCACAAAAGGACTCACACGTGCAAGAAGCCCTGGACGTGCGACACGTGCGGGAAGGGATTCTCCGTCCCCGGCCTTCTTAAGAAGCACGAGCAGTTGCATACAAGGGACGCTAATCCTGACTTCTCCGTTAAACGGAGACACAGGGGTAAGCACAAGAAGCACTCCCTCAAGAGGAAGTACGACGAGGAAGACGAGGGTAGCGATGATTATTAATTTAAAGAAACATATTTCATAACTAGAAGGGCAGTCCTCCGCCAAGGTGTTTTTGTTTGAGGTGGCTGTTTATGTTCTGGCTTATGTTTAGTCACTTTGCCATAGACACAAGTGTTACAACTGACCTACCTATGAAAAATATTTCACATATCCGCTCCAGGATTTCTATCCACTCTTTTCACCACGTTCCATGAAAATGGGGCCAATAGTTCTTTCATAATCCTGTTCACAGACAAACAGCACCCAAAACATAACCTCCTTGGCAGGGGTCAAGGCTGACCACTGATATAATTAAAATTGGCTAATTCAGAAAACTACTACATAAGTGAGCCTTTAAACCATGTAAAGGTGTCAAGTGTTTTCGGGGTTCGTTACCTTGTGAAGGTGATCTAATCACCATGATGGTTTGGGTCGTGAAAACAGATTTTGAATGATGTTTGGATACGTTTTTTTCCCCTAATCACTGAGTTTAAAGAATGCTAATTTGAGTTATAATGGGTATTTGCTGGTGGCCATGCCAGCCAGAGCATCTGAACTAATAAAGACCAGTGTTTCACTCATCAGTGCTGTTTTACATATAACTAGGTGATGACGTGACGAAAGTGATTTAGGTGATAGAGTTACCGTAAGCTGTCCCATTTTGAGATAAAAAAAAAGGTAGCAATACAACTTTTTTAAAATCATTTTCTGATCTTTGTGTGAGTTGTAAATAGTTGGTAATAATTTTCATTACAAAAAAACAACCTATGATGGTGTAAAATAAACATTATTTTCCAAACATTGTGCTTTTCAGGACGCTCCCTGAATATAGCCAGCATTTGAGAGAAGGGCATCATGTAAACAATAGAGTGAAAGTATTTCAATGCATGTGACTGTAGATGATCTGTCTTCTATTGTAATAAAATGGTGTAGTGTCATTAGGAAACATTTTACTTTACTGTATGTTTGTTGAAAGTGTAGTGAATTAAAACTACTTTTACCACACTTTTTTTTATGTAACCTCGACCTGTAAACATAACTCTTGCTTTTGTTTTAGAGTAAAAATAGGGTGATTTGTGTTTATTAGGATTTCACCAGCAGTAGACGCTGTTTGTTGCTCTAGTGGTATTGAATTAACACATTGAGAAAACATTGAGAATTTAAATTTACATGGACATGTATAGTAAACATATAAATGTGTGATGAGGTGCTTGTGTTTCCCATTACCTATCCTATTGTGAACATCGGTGTATATAAGGCGGTTATATGTATTCTCAATATTTTTTTGTTTTGCAGAAAAATAAAAACATAACAAAATGCTGTTGTCTTATTGGTTTGTTGTCTTGTGTAGTTTACTGTACCTCCACTGCAGTCTAGACAAAACTGCTCATTAACCCTGAAATGGGACATAAACCACTATGTTAAGTCAAGCTATGAGAATATATAACCATGAAAAGTCAAAACAAAACAAAACAAAAACTTCCACCAGCCTCCTCTCTTAGTTATTGGTTTCATGAACAAAAAGAAAGAAAACAACGCTTTTCAAGGTGTCTTATGCAGATATATTAAATAAAAAAGAAACTTTTTTGTTAAAACATATATTTATGTAACAATAATATTACAGATAATGCTATTGTTTGTGGTAGATTAGTGTTAATAACAGAGACATCGGTGCATTTGAATTTACATTTTATTGCCTGTACCGATTCTTTAAGTTATATTTCTCTTACAGATTCACTCGCCTTCATACGCTGAGATCACCCTCAAGACCCAGCTTTCTACTCTGTTCAAGTAGAAGATTTTTCTTCTAGCTAAAGTAATTTAACTTTAAAATAGAGATTAAGACTTATAAACAAGGTAGCTCATCCTGTCAAATGAAGAAAAATCTTTGTTGATTTATTGTAAACACATTTATACAGAATTTATACATTTATAAGTTGGGTTCTCCAATAATGCCTACATGACAGAAAAAAATACTTATATTTAAAGCACATTATACGACATTTTAAAACAATGGCCCGATATAACGGTTTGGTCAATATTATGGGCAGATATTGGCCGATCACAGACATATCGATACTGGCATATACTGTATGTCATTCAATATGCGCTGATATTGCATAATGCAAAAAGGCTTATACTTTTTACAGTAGAGTTAATTAATTCCTTATTTTTTTAGTGACTAGAATTGGCTGACAATGTAGCCTATATGTTAAATTATTTAACATGTTAAAGAATATTTAACTTAAATATTCCTTAATAAAGTTATTGGCATGGTTATATTGGTGCAAAAAAGGGAATTTTGCCCTCTAAAATCAGATCCCTATCAATTTTTAAAAAATGAGGCAGAAGCTTGTGATTCAATGATGAATGAGTGTTTTTTAAGGCACAGTCTCTCAAAACCACCTAAATAAAGTTTTCGATACATACATTGTGAGTAAAACTAGGTTAATTGGTCTAAATGTTGGCTATAGAACACCATCTTTAATTGTGGATTCACTTCAAAGTTTAATTTAACATTCTTAAAATGTACTTAGTTTACCTACTTTAATGCCTTGATGAATAATTAATCTACTGCTTTTACAGATATGCCCTTGTGCTGTCGGTCAAACGGAGAGGTCCAAGCATTGTTGACACTGGGTAAATCCCAAACAACCGCACCCGTACATTATGGGTTTGCCATTATGGATGTCGTTCAGAAGCTTCACTGCTCAGTCAGTCGCAGTCAGTCCTGGATGTGGACACTGATACTCAGCAGAAATAAATAAATAAAAAAAAGACAAAATAGCAGTTGTCATCATCTGAAGATTGTTTTCTGATTTGCTTTCATTTTCATTTTTGCAATTTCAAACCAGCTACAGCAGGTGTTGCTAGAAAACACATCAGCTGCTCGCTTGTAAAGCAAAGCACTTAGTGATGCCTCTACAAAAAAGAAAAGAAAAGATTGTTGTGTACTGAATGTTGTTATATACATATTTCTGCCAGACCAGAGAATCCTACAAGGTCAGGGTTTTGGTGATTTCTACCAGTGAGTTAGGTGACTCCCTGCTTCCTCTAAATGGAACTCATTACAGAGTCATTTAAAGTTGAGTTTGACGGTTTATCTGCAACTTTGAGAGCTGCTACAATATTAACCAGGTTTCATTGCTTTTAACAGACGTGTTGCGGGCTGTTTGGACATCAGATGAAGTCAAAGTGTTGCTCACCCGATTGTCGGAGGAGAGCGTCCAGGAGCAGCTCAGATCTACTCAGAGGAAGGAGAGAGTGTTTGCTCAGCTGAGTCCTGACCTCGCTACTCAGGGCTTTGATAAGACCAACCAGCCAATGCAGGGCAAAGATAAGACAAAAGTACAGAAAAGACCTTAGCGGTGTAAGCAATTGGTGGCTCATTGGCTTTATACGGCGGAGAGTGATGGTTAGTGGGTTTTCCTGAGTGGGAAAGTGACAATTATCAATTATTGCAATTGCAGATTTATGGGGGAGAAATCTACAGTTTTGTTGAAATTGTTCACATACATTTATATGCAAGTTAAGTTTGCTCTATAATTTCAAGTTGGGTTATTTTATGCCTTCTTATCCCATTTGCAGGTTGTCTGCCTCATCATTGTGTCTCCTGGTTCCTGGCGATGTGTGCCTTTGCCTGGCAGGTGGTTCAGTGCTGTAATCTGCTACACTATGGAAAGTCAGGTGCAATCCTTGCTCAGACTAAGGGCAAGGGTAACAAGGAAAACATAGAAGCATTTATACAGTTTTATGTAAGGTAAGGTTTTATGTGTCAGTGGAGTGGATTTCTTAAAAATAATGACTCCCTCTTACTCAATCTTAAGTGTATTTGATTTACATTCAGACATAAGACAATAACAATATCTGTTGCAGTGTGTGTTTCCGGTTGTGTTGTAGTTGTGTCGCAGTGAGAGCACTGCCAACCTGCTGAAAATCCGGCCTCACTTGAAGAACCTCACAATGGGCTCCACCTGTGATCAGGAGGTACGTCTGCAGGTGTGGATGAATACTGAACTGAAAGTAGAGCTGCGGAACGGTGTGTTGATTCTCAGTAGGATCTGGAGTATAAGCAGCTTTAAGTGGCAAAATGGCTTAAATATTTATTTTGAAAAGCTTATTTTACAAAGAGTGACATACATAATTAAAAAAAACAATACTTAACTGATTTGAAGTTATTTTTAATATGTTATCACACTCCATTTGTCACCTTCAACGATTTAGCATGGCTTTAGCTGTGTGGAGTAGACGCTGAACTGATGCTCTGTTGTTGTCACGTGGTAGGACAAGTTGTTCTGTTGTCCCTGTAAGAGACAGAAGGGAAAGGTTGCCATGCGAGGTCAAAGGCAGACCTTTCAAAGCCTAAATTAAGTAGCATTCCTCCTTTAACCCTTTTAGTCCCTCGAGAGATCACTGAGGACACCCACAAACGGATCTCCACCTCACTTTGCCTGAGGCAATGATTTCCCCCCTCTAACGCTCAGGATGGGCCCCATGTTTTTTCTCCCCTGCCTCCTTTACTCCCTTAGGATTTCAGCCCAGCCAGATTCCCCCTTGATGTTTAATTGATGTTTCCTTGCATCTGCTCTTCAGTGAAAATGCATGAAGAGATGGTATTGTTGAGCCCTTTCAGGGTTTTAGAGTTGTGCCATTTTCACAGATCTTAATATGATTTCCTGTTATTGATTCTGCTTCTTTTAACCTCATTATATTTATTACATTTGCTAGTTTATCAGCTGCTTATTGACCCCCATTTGATGTACAACATTTTCTAATTAGTCTTTTTTACCTGCATCAAATATGTTGGAGCAATACATTGGAGCAATGTGCTGATTTTGATGAAACTTTCAATTAGTGATGCATCCTGTTGATTGGTCAAAAGGGATCTTGAATCGTTGGAAAATTCTAAATTAAACTTTGTGGAGCTTCTTCATATCCTTATCCAGGACGCAGAGGAGAGAAAGATGTTATTTAATGTCAGACATTCTTAACACTGTTACTATAATTAAAAATACGCTGTATGTGTGCAAGAGATGTTTCACCTTCCTTTTTTCCCAAGAGGTCTTCCCCATCCACTGTGGCCAGCAGTATGAAGCAACATCGCAGTCAGTAGTATGGAAATTAATTTCTAGATTGGATAAACTTTTGCCTGTACCGGATATTAAACAGGTACTGTATATTCTTAAATAATAAAAAGTGCTTTGGTCATTTTCTGAAAACTATGCAAAGGTACCATTCCAAAAACATGACAATCTTAACAGTTTGTGTGAGCCGCGGATAATTTGACAGAAGTTGTTGTTAATTACTGACTATAAATATTTGTTTTAAGTGATTTAGCACCTGATTTTTTATTTTTTTGTATGACTGGGTACAATCCTCAAGCAATATCCCGTTAAATTTTCTCAGTTACCTCTAATGGTATCTTATGGTAATGTTCAATTCAATTCAATTTTATTTGTTAGCGGCCAATTCATATACTAGTAGTTATCTCAAGGACACTATTTCAATAGAGCAGTTCTAACCGAAGCTCTTATACACGTGGGGCCTAATGCAGATGGTTAAAAATTGTAGGGCAATTAAAATTAAAATGTTTTGCACCTTGAAAAAAAAAAAAAAAAACTTTTCTAGCTTACTTTTTTTTTTTAAATGTTTATAGCTTTCTGGTGGAAGCTCTTGTATTGTTGTTCTCCCTCTTTGAGGTTTGCACATAGGTTTCAGTTTCAGTCAGCTGGAATAAGTTACTAGGAATTGGTTTTTACAAAATATGGCCATTACTTGCAGTATTCTGGAAAGTTTGCCACATGAAAGTCAGTAGACGATTAAAATGCTAAATCCTTTTTTTTTTTTTTTTATTGGTTTTGAACCCTGAAGCCACAGTGTGTTGTAAAGCTTTGATGTCATTAGGGCCTATGCTTGGATTGGGCTTGAGCCTGCAACTACACCTTGTATACAATTGTATGAAAGGTTGACGGCACAAACCTTTGACAAATAACGACATTTCTGTGATTTTTATCATTGGAGAAGGGTATGGAACATGAAACTCAATATTTGCAGCAAACATTCATGCATTAGTTTCTTTTTATTTGCATAAAACTAGAACAAAAATACATCATATGTATAAAAGTTTTGGGCAAACCATACAGAGTTATCCAGTCTCAGCATTCCCCCTTTACAGGTCTCGGACCCTTTATCAAACTCATTAAGGCCTGTCAACAGTGGTTGGTTAGGAACCGTTTCAACACTTTACAAATGAAACAAACACTCTTTAACCTTCCAACAACGGTATGTTTTATAATAATCCATCCTTAAGCTTTCCCCTTTTTTCAGCTTCAGCCTTTGTTACGAGATGCTGTATAGTTTTGCTTCCCAGAATTATTTGGCTGGTATTTAGTGGAATCTAATTCCTCCTTCAGCCCCCGTGCAGTGTTTCCTGTGCCAGCTGCTGCAAACACCACCAGGAAAACATAATAGAAAATCACCCCCCAATGCCTTAACAGTTGGGGAAGTGGTGGTTTCATGAACTGCCTGCTCTTTTTTTCCTTCAAACATCCGCTTTTGCTTAAGTATTTTTGGCCCACTATTTTTAACTTCATCACACTAAAACCCATGCAGAGTTCTGTAGAATGTTCTGCTGCCTACTTCTGACGTTGGATTTAATGATGTGGACCACAGGTATGGTTTTCTCTACTGCCTCTTGCATTAAGGTTTTGTTTGCAGGCAGCAGGCTTTGGACGAGTGAAACACCACCCACGATGCTATATGAATGTGTATTGTGCTTAGAAAAGTCTTTAAAGGGGAACTTGGGCCAACTTTTTCAGCTTAATAAACCCCGTTTAGAAAGTATTTGGAATGGTTTAAATGCCTGTTCGCGGTGAAAAATGGTGACCCCCCCCCACCCCCCTCGAGGCGAACCCAGGCGGAAAAACCACCTTGCATACTTTGGGCTACCGTCCCGGTAAAATTGGAAAATAGGAAGTATGCGAGAAGCGAAGACGAGCGAGAAACACGAACGGCTTTTACGGCAATCCACATAAAACGCAACACGGCTTGCCCTCAATAACGGTTAAGTGGTTATAGATGTATTAACCCACCGCTCGGTAGATTATTGCTCCACACGAAAAAGTTGCCGAAGGTAAAAAAGGGCACATCAGCCAGGCGGTAGAAAAGGGGAAGGAGGGTGCCGCAAGATGATTTTTTAAATACGTTGTTGAAAATACAACGTTCCCAGGAGCTTGTAGGGGGAGTCGTTGAGAAAACATGCGATGAACAAAAGTGAAAACCAGCGAAGAAATGGCTAGAGTTGCCAAGTTCCCCTTTAACATTTGTCCTCATTGCTTCCTCTGGAGGATAAGTGAGACTGTTCTTTATTCAGTCTGTCCTTTTCCTCCACATCTGTTCCAACTGGCGCCATGTAATGTATGTCTGTGTCCGTTTCGGCATCACTTATTCTTCTCAGCAGCCCTTTGTCAGACAGCCACACAGCAAAGCCAGATACTAGTAATATAGTCCCGGTGGCGATGAGCATGATGACAGTGCGGAAAGGGAACAAGCGGTATCGGTGACCGTCCTCCTGTATCTTGTCCCACGGCAGGGGCAGCACGTCAGGAAGGCCTATTATGGGTTCCCCAACCAGAGCTCTGAGGAGTAGTGCCAACACAAAGCCACAACAGGCCCCGTAGTGGTTCACCCTCTGAGATAAGTAGAAGATGCATATCACCTGGGGAGCCATCATTGAATACATGACATCTGCACTGACGACCCAGAACAGGTGAATGGACTTTGTCATCATGGCCAGGCCTGCTCCCATCAGTCCGCACAGGAAGATTGACACTTTAACCACCACAATAATATTTTTTTCCGATGCCTGAAATAGAGGAAATTATTTTATAAGCCATCAAGTTTCTTTTATTAAACCAAAATGTGAATCACAGTGTTGATTTTTGAGGTGTTAAAAAGAAAAAGTGAGTTACTTAATCCTAAAAAACCTAATAAGACCACATCAGTGTAACTTACAACAAATTGCATACACTTACATTAGTGTTGAATGTTTGCCAATTAATTCGACTGATCGCTTCAACTCTCAACTACAATAATCATAAAGCAGTCAACATTGCTCATCAGGAAAAAGTCTCATTGTGCCACTGTTCACCAGCATGAAGGCACACTTTGCTGTGTGCAACTGCTTGAACATGGGGCCTAAAAACTAAGCCGTCAACCATAAAATACTGCAACAAATGGATTTTTTAAATCTACTCACAGCAATTTAAGTTATGGAAATACTTTAGCTTACAACCAAGAACCTGTTTAGTTATTTTTTAATCCTTCCTTTTTGTTGTTCAACCTTTTCGGTGGCTGATCAGTGGTCACGTGAGGTGTTACCTGTTTGTAGATGATGTTCTTGAAGACATTGCGGCCCAGCTGGGAGCCTGCAGACAGTAGTGCAGAGTCGACTGATGACATCACCGAGGCAGCAAGTGCTCCCATGCCAATCAGTGAGACGTAGAAAGGACAAAGATGCTGAAGGGCAATTGGCAAGATCATACCAGATTTGCCCTGTTCGTAAGGGCTGGGTAAACCGTAGGTGGTCTGGTTCCAATCTGACAGACATTAAGCACATGTAATTAAAAACAATCATACTAGTCACAGGGAATAGGTTTGATTATTAAGAATATATCAATTGGTCAAGTTCTCCTACTCATAGTACTACAGATGATTGGCAAAGATAGTAAAGACAATAAGAACATCTAGGTACTTGTAGATGCCGACACTGCCCCAATGATGAGTGATGGGATGCCAAGGATTGGGCATAATACTGCCCCAGCATAGCAGGTGATTTTAGCTTGTTTATCTGTGGCTGTGGACAGGACTCTCTGGTAGAAAGCCTGGTAGCAGATCCCTCCGATGGCCTTGGAGAGGAATAAAGACAGGATTGGATTGGAGAATGGACATTAAGCTTGAAATGGTTGTCCATAAAACACTTAAAGGTCCAATGTGAAACATTTAGGAAGATCTATTGTAGTGTAGTCTTTTTCTTTAATCTTTAGGAACTACTAAAGACGTTTCAGTGTCCATTACCATTAGCAGTACGTCATCTATCCAGCGACCTGTATCCTCCAGCTCCAGCTTGCCGATCCATGGCTTCTGGTACAGCTTGGTTACCGCAGCAACAGTAATGTTAGCTGAGGAGGGGCTTGTCAGGATAAAAGGCACACAAAACCACTGAAAATAGGGAAGAAAAAAAGATAGAGAGTAACACATTCAGTATATCAGTCCTGCATAGTTCTATGGATAAAAAAATAGTAGTCAACATTTCAACAGTCAACAGTGTAGAACATTTTAATGGCAATCCATCCAATAGTTGTAGCCACACCGCTAGGTTAGTTATTATGCAGAAGTGCTTTGAATTTTCCTTAAAATGCCATGTTTGTACCAAGCCGAGGAGCATGAACATAAGCTGGATGACATCAGTATAGGCCACAGAGTACAGTCCTCCCATTAATGTGTAAAATATTGCCACAGCAGCAGAGACGCCCACAGCAAGCCTGGAGGAGACATCCATCACTACACTTAGCGTCCCTCCTGTAACCACAAACATACATTCACAGTGAGACATGCACAACTTTCTCAAAACTCAAACTCAGGTGCTGAAGCAACAAACTAAAATTGATGCCATGTAATTTTTGCAAATAGCATGATAGTAGTGCTATGACTAAACAGCATTTACATTGACTAACTCAAAACTAACCCGGCAGTAAATGTGTACTCTCAGGATATTAAGATTTATAATTAAGACTTTGGCAAGAAATTAATTCATGAAGTGTTTGTTTCTGACTTACCCAGTGCACCGAGGACACACGCTATCCACAAGATATCAGCAAGGAGAGCGGGAATAAAAATAACAGCAGCTACACTGTTGCCATATTTGTTTTGAAATGGGTCCATGAGGGTGACATAGTTCTTCGACCGAATAGGCTTGACAAGGAAGAGTGCACCTGAAGTCACACGAACGGAAACATTTTAACTTTAAACAATCACCAGGCAATGGACATTTTTTTTTGAGTAATTATGGAGCAATTTAAGGTTCACTATTTATCACCATGTCGCATCTAAGCAGTTGTATTTGGTCTCACTCACCTATAATCAGGTGTATGATATAGGCAATGGGTCCAGTGGCCCAAACCAACCCCTTTGTTGGATCGTAGACCACTTCAGCACAACCCAGGATATAGCCTCCTCCCACCCAAGTGGCTGCAAAACATTAGCACACATATAGGCAATGAGAAATTATTTAAACATTAATATACTATGATCATCTATGATGTTATTGTTATTATCATCATTATTCTACCTGTCATAGTAAAGATGCTGACCCAGATGTTGAGGTTCCGCCCTCCAACCATTGCAACTTCACTGCGGTTGCCCGTGCACTTCTTCTCTTCACGCTTGGACTTCCTGGATGCCCAGATACCTGTGCCCAGTACGATCATATAAAACACTCCTATGGACAGCAGTCCTGCCCAATTTACCGCCATCCTCAGTGTCTGTGGGGAAAGGACACAAATGAGAAAAGTGTTTATATTTCCCTTTTCAGAAAATGATACATTGAGCATGCATTGCCTACAGCTAATAGAACATTCAATTCAATTCAATTTTATTTGTATAGTGCCAATTCATGACAGAAGTTATCTAAGGACACTTTTTTAAATAGAGCAGGTCTAGACCTAAATATCCCAAATATTTTTGCCACTCAGAGCCAGAGTTGTGCAGTAATGATTGGGGTTGGCGCCACGGTATCGAAGTCCCGCCCATACGCCTGGCTGACCCAATCGCAAGCAGGGCTCAGCTGTCAATCATTACATAAAACCCCCTTTTTATAGCTTAAAAAAAGAAATTAAAACCAAACTTATCAGACAACAGAAACAATCTTTGGTAAAAATGTATTTGACGTGTACTTTGATTTTTTTGTTTGGCCCATTTCCCATCTGCTAACATTGAGGCAACATGCTCTATGATCTATACTGCAGCCAGCCACCAGGGGGCGATCGAGGTGGTTTGGGTTCACTTTTAGAGAGCTGGTTCTTTTGGCTCGGCTCACTATAAAGAGCCGGTTCTTTCGGCTCCCAAGGTGGGGCTCCTCAGATTTTTTTTTGTGGGCTTTAAATTTAATTTATTACCCCAAATTATGTGTAAAATGAATTTACTTAAATGGTAAATACAACTATATGCAAATTGTTTATTATTATTATTGCTTTATAATATACTCAAACATGGGAAACGGGGTGCTTAACAAAATGTAAAAAATAAATTATAAAATACTAAAACAAATCTCAATTAGACAAAAAGCTTCTCCATATGAAATTCTAACTTTGTACAGTCTACACTCTTGAACTGTCTATCACATTAAAATGTGTCCAAACTTTACGTTTCCTGTCACTCATTTTCCTCACCTTTCCAGCATATAGTCTCTATCTATGTAGTGCCAAGTTCTCTCGCTCTCTCGTGTCTCCCTCCCTCCTGTTCACATGCTCACTGTGCCGTGTGTGTCTGAAACCCCTCTACCTACTTTGTCAGTCCAGTTCTTCAGGATCTGCCCTTCCTTTTAAGAAATTTACACTACAATAAACATTTTAAAGGAAATTGAGTAGGTGTGCCTGAATCAGGGAGTAACAAGCTGAAGTTTGGGTTCAAAAGAGGAGAACAGTGAACACTTGATGTAAAGTATGTGTCACTTTTCTGCCCCTTTTGCTCCTTAATTACACCAAAAGAACGATATGAGCTGTTATGTAATTCCAAAACAAGCCTGTTTTTTTTAGAGGTATTTACTTTAATAATTAATAATCAACATTTTAGTTTAAATAACGAATTGAAAGAAATAATGGCCCAACAGAAAAGAAACATGTCACTTGATGTTCATAATTTATTTTCACGAAGAGGTAAAAGGGAATATTAGGATATATGTTTTGTGTCATAATAATTATTCAAATAATTTCACATACCTGTATTGCCTTTAGAAAATGTCGAGTAGGGTTACGGTTAAGTTTGAGTAGAAATCTCTCCAAAGCCACTCGTCACAACAGTGAGGAGGAACGGTGACTACTGATGCGGAGAGATGTGTGATGTGGAGAAGACCTGGCATAGTTTCAACTAATTTTCTCTCACTCAAGTCTCGAGTTGATTACCCAACTAATCCTTTCAGCTGTATACGGTGGCCCTGAGGGTCCAAACACAAAATTTCATGAAGCTCAACTAAATTTCTACCACTACTACTTGTACTACTAATTAGTAAAACAATATAAATCCAATATTCAAACTGAACATTTAGCAGCACTGTGAATCAGAGCAGTTTGAATTTAGAAAATGTATATCTACGATAGATTTTCTGCCTTTGCATTTCTGGTGCTTGACACACTCCTAAAATACCAAATGCACACTTACAGCAAAGAATAATACAAAAAATGTACAGTATGTTTATTTACCTGTTTTGTCTTTAGAAAATGTTGAGAAGGGGACAAATTTAGGCAGTGCCTGTGCTCTCACTGTGCGTCTACGGACACACGGACGTCTGACTGTAAAGTGAGTGTTTCTATTTTCTTTCTTATAACAACGTGGCATGTATGTACACAATTTGTTCAAGCATTATCACGAAGTTATTCCCGGTCGTAACGTCAGCCAACTGAACTAGATCCTCTGCCAGTTGTAACAACAGTGTGGAGGAGCAGTCTTTCCTGTTGGGTTAGGTAAAATGGTTTCTTTTTTTGCACCACCAAACAGCACAGACAGTTAGCATCGCATAGTTGAGCATTTAGCAACTAGTGCCAGATATTTCTCGCAGGAGTTGGTGAAGACTGAAAACAGAGCAAAAAAAATTGTGAATATTAGATTCATATTCACCATGTGGCCAAACAACACAACTCCAAATTAATGCTAGTGTGGCCTTTTATCAGCTGGATTTGTGAACAGGTTCATTGTGTCAACTTGAAAGGGGATTATATGTCTGCCTTATGAATGAAAATTCTAACTTGCTTGACACATTCTGTTTCTTCGGGAACTTCGGGTTAAATTCTAGAATCTAAAACTTATAAACTAACCAATAAATGTATTTTGTGCAGCTTTACTCAGGTTGGAGCAGTTACAACTTTAATTAAGCTTAGTGTAAGTTCAATCAGAAAGAATATGCTACTCATTCCTTCCTTTCATCAAATTTTGCCACCATCGCCATCAGCTAATCCTTTCGTTGCTGTCAAACTTTAACATGTTCTCTCTGCTTCTGTCAGCTATTTCAGTGTGACTGGTTGCAACCCTCCACCATCCCATTCATCTTCAGTTCCATCACTTCCAAAACCAGGTCTGAATTCACCACCAGACCGCTTTCTTATCTTTGTACTTTAAATAAGTTTGTTCCATTTCCAATTGTTAACACTTAATAAATACAGATTAATTTCTACTTGAGGAGAACAACCCAAGACAGTCCCTCCATGGAAGTTGCAAATTTTGCGTGTCCTTTTTCACCAATTTTCACCACCACTTTTCTGCAAATTTGAGCAATCATTGTAGCACTCCGAGCAAAATGTTGAGCCATTCGTCACCTAGCCCTTTTATTCTCACTGGAATGACTTGTCTTCGATTTTTAATACAATTATCTTAAAATAATAATAATAATCGCAAATATTTGTGAAATTATTGCTTTCTCACGCGAAATGCCTAAGACTTTGCAACATGCATCACAATTTTTAAGAAGAGCTGCTGTGAATTCAGACATTTTAGGCAGTACAAATCCCACATAAAGCCTACGAAATGCTGGAGGGACTGAAAAGACACATATTTATAATAAATAGAACGCATCACACTTCTTCCTAATAAAATCTCAGTGCCAAAGGATGTAAATGTGTAAACAAATGATTGACGATGACCACCAAGTGCAACAATGTTGGCTGTATTTCCTGACTGATCCTGACACAAAAATGGATATGATGTCTTCAGAGAGACACAATGAAGTGAGATCAGCTGTTACCTTCAGTCTCAAAAGTCACTGACAGTATACCGATACTATTGCAGGTATCCTAGTAACCACTTCTGACTTGTAACCGGACCCCCTCAAACATCAGCAGGGAAAGAGCTCAGTTAATGACTGCTTTGAGGATCAGGTTCTGCCGGGTTGTAAACATACACTGTTGGCAGCGCTTCGTTTATGTGAAGATGAAACATCCCTTACACACACTCTGTCGGAATTTTGTTCTCTTTTACCTGACAGGTGATTAAGCGGACAACTGAAATGTTATGGGACTTCTGGGTGCAATCCTCGTTGGGTAGCCGTACAGTGAAATGGGAAGGAAGGACTGAATGATGGAAAAGGTTGTAAAGAAGGAAACAATGACAACTTTCTGCCTGCTGATGATGTGGTTGGCTCCCATGGATTTCTTTGATGGTAGTAATGATTTATAATGCAGGAGGTTTTGGGGTTTTTTGAGCATGAAATACACATTTTGCTAAGCAACATTTAAGTGGACAGAATAATGGATGCATAGAATACGTTTTGCTCATAATTGACATAATAATTCACTTTGTGGAGATCTACTTTTTGTTTCAAAGGAACACTGCTTTTAGGATTTACCATAAAAGATGGAAGTGAAAAATGAGACTGCTACCTCAAATTCAGTCTCTTAACAGGTCATGGATGACCTACCAGTCAAGCACCCTGGACCATTTCACCAAAAGATCACCCTGTCATGTAAAACCCTGGACTTCTACCTCACACTGTTGCTGCTGCTGGAGAATGTGAAGCACAGTGAAAGTTTAATGCAACATCATCCTGTAACGACTGAAGTTTGTAGGTTTCCTAACTTTACATCTGAGGCAG